GGCATCGGAGGTCATTTCTCCCCGTGGCTCACCCATTCTCAGGCACACACATCTGGGAATCCCAGGCTTTTGCCATCAATCTGCCGAGGCTGCGCTACGCCCTCTCTCTTCCGCTGGAAGCATGGAGGGAGCTGAGGTGCCAGAGGGATGGTAAATAGACCCTTGAGCTAATTTGCATTGTAACTCAATGGGGCTTTGTAACTCACTTGCTAAAAGCACCAGGTCCCCCTCAGGAGTCTCTCATCTTTTCATGAAAAACTGCAGAATGACATTTACAAAGAAGAAGGTGTGTCTTAAATGAAGATGGCAACTTGAATTTTCCACTTTTTTTTTTTTTTTTTTGGTTTTTCTCCGGTACCGGGAACCGAACTCAGACCTTGCGCTTGCCAGGCTGCGCGCTCGGTCCAAGAGGACGACACCCCCGATAGAAGAGGACCGTTCCTCGGTCAAGGGTATACGAGTAGCTGCGCTCCAACCTCCAAACAAGCTCTCAAGGTCCATTTCAATTTTCCACTTTTTAAGGAACCATTCTCTCATCCCTTACCTTTCTAAAGGAAAGGTTAGAATTATGAGTTCTAGATAGTAATTTTGGAAAAAAATATTCAGTATACTTCCAACTACAATAACACTTCTTTAATTTCAATTTGTTTGAAATACTAACTTTGAAGGCTCTTTTTATTTGTATATGGTCTGCAGTAGGAATACTTATACTTTACTCAGGAATATATCAAATTGGAAACAAAATGTTTAGAAAATCAAAATAACATTAAATGGATGTTTAAAACAGTTTTTTCCACATATTAGTACAATGATCATCTAATGGTAGATTTAAAATATCTTTGCATATTCTCTAAATATAATTCTGCAGTTGTTTAATAATATACTTTATTCTAATTATTTCTCTTTTCAGGTAACCATAAAAGTTCATTTCTTCTGCAGCATTCCTTGGGAGTAATGAAATTATTTGATAAACTTGTTATTTTCTAAATTTGAATATAATATTTTTATACATATAAATTTTATATTGAAATTAATCATTTGTAATAGGCTTCATTCTTTTAGTCAATATGTCCATTATGCTTAGATTTTAGCCCACTAGAAAGAGTTCCAAATTTAATTCTTACCTCTGCTCACAAACACAAGGGAACTTTCTAACCATTCCTTACTGAACAGGAACCCAAAGGGTCAGAGATGGGCTTTCCGTTCATGTTTTTCTAAGGAAGGGGTGTTTCTGCTGACTTCAACAGTGCAGTTACAAGCAAGCAGCTGAATTAGACATCTAACAGGTGATAGTTCATCTCCACCTCTTTTGCTTGTTCAGTAGATTGATGACTGATAAATAACCAAGCATGACAATTTCCACTGAAATATTTCTTTACTATGCATTTGAATTTTTATCTATTATAAGAAGAGATATTATTACCAAGGCATGACAAAACTTATTTAAAGACATGGCTACCATATTAATTTCCTCATTTTAAATCTGATCAGTGTAAGACAGAGACACCCAACTGCCTAACTGACTGCAAAAAACAAAAGGTTAAGGAATTGTCTAGCTTAGGCTTTTTTCAAAAGACTCCTTTCTAGATTAAAGCTGTAGAGTGTTTTTCTTGTAAACTTGCTCCAGCATCAGTTGTTTCTTTCTTTCCTTTTTCTTTTTCTTTTTCTTATTCTTTCTTTCTTTCTTTCTTTCTTTCTTTCTTTCTTTCTTTCTTTCTTTCTTTCTTTTCTTCTTTCTTTCTTTCTCTCACTCTGTCTTTCTGACTCTTTGTCTCTCCATCTCTGTCTCTCTCCTTTCTTTCACAATTTCTGCCTACAAACCAATGAATTCTCTTCTGGGATAAACATGAAAAGATTGTTTATCTAATTTGTGGCATCATTTTTCTTCCTAAATAGTGCTAGACATCTGTCAGGGACTTGTAAACAGATTTAAAACGCTAACTTCCTAAGGATAAATGTGCAAGCTTACTTTTTCTATTTTCTGCAGTTTTGTAGCTGAAGCTGGAATTCTTCTCTCTCTTGCCCTCTAGTGCAGCTTGTCAATATAACATTGCTTCTCCATACTCTTCTTACAGAGTTTATCTATTTGATGCAACTGTTGTGTCTTTTGTTGGAACTTATAGTTTATACTCCACCAGTAGCAGACAAAACCCTAAAAGGTAATAAAATGATATAGTGAAAGAAGAAGGGAGACAGCGCAGAATAAAGCTACTGAGAATTCAGGGTGGTTCTGACTGTGCAATACTTTGGGCCATTCATTGTATTTGAAAATCTGGCTACCTACTTTGGAGAAAATAGAAATATGCAGGTCAGAAATGTCTATTTGACCCCACATGTAAGGATGAAGAGAACAAAAAACCATAGCTTGTAGGGAATCAACACCTCGTCCGCTCTTATTGCTACACAGTCCACCATGTGCACAGCAGACAACCTATTCCAAATGTCATATTTCCTCTGTATGGGGAAAATATCCTCTTTGTATAATACATAAGTACTTTAAGGAGTAATAGGACTTACATAAAGGTGAATAAGAACAATTCCCACTGTTTCTCTGGTTTTCATATCTGTTACCTCCTTCCTCATATATAAAGTACGATTTATGTAGTATTATCAAAGTATGGGTACTCAATGGCATCATAAAGTTCTTACCAGTTTTAAAAAGAGAGAAAGAAGAAGAAAGCCATACTGGCAATTAGGGTGGTAGTCATTCTTTATGTGATCTGTGTCAAACCTAAACCAGTCATTTGTGTTAGCTTTAACTGCACATCAAACTGCACTGGTACAGATAAAATTTGTGTTTATATGATAAATAATACACACCCAAAAATGCTTGTAAAGAAAGTTGTGCTAAGCTGCAGTAATTATGCCTTTAGCGCTCCACTATAACATTGATTCTCCATAATCTCTCTCATTTCCTAAAAATAGCTATGTCAAAAGAGTGCAAAACACAGACCACACAATATATACTTCAGGTTAATGGGGGCTCCAACTAATAACTACTTGGCCAATGGGATCAGTCAGTCATTATAAATCATATACTCTATGCTTTAAACAGGGAAATTTTTCAGTTGTTTCTACTAAATTGTATCAAGTTCAAAAGCCATTTCCTGCAGACTGACCAAGATACACATGATGGAAAAGATATTGTGGTCATTTAGTACAGACATCTTTTATTTCAAACTTTGGAATCTGATGCAGTTAATTTAGATTATACCTTTTCTTGATAAGCCCTTACCAGAGTTTCACAATGTAAACACTATTGAAATTTGGGGCCAAATACTCCCTTGTTATGGAAGCTAGTCTGTATATTGGACAATTTTTACTGGCATCTCTGGACTTTACATATTAGATTTCTATAGCATCCAATATCCCTAATTCTGACAGCCAAAAATGTCAGCAGAATTTAAGGATCGTCTCTGAGTGATACAAGATAGCAAAGTTCCTTTCCCTTTCTTGAGAACCATTAATCTAATCAGCAGTTTTACTTACATCTTTAAGAGGAAATGTAATAATAATAAAAGAGGCAAGGTTTTGAACATATATTATAGTCAGACACTGTACTAGGTACTTTGCTTTTTATTATCCCTAATCCTCTAAACAATAAAAAGAGGTTTTTGTATTATTTCATACACAAGCAACCTACAATTGAAAAGTCATATAATAACTTGAGGGGCTGGGGATTTAGCTCAGCGGCAAAGCGCCTGCCTGGCAAGCGCAAGGTCGTGAGTTCGGTTCCTGGTACGGGAGAAAAACAAAAAAACAAAACAAAACAAAAAAATAACTTGAAAAGCCAAGAACTGGCTCCAGATCGGACAGATTCCAAACCTGGAATCTTTCTACTACCTATTTTTAATCAATCCCCTGATACTAAACATTATGATGGTTTCCAACACTAAATGATAGATTAGTACTTGATACTGACAATGTCATTTTGAAAGAGAACTAGAATCTAAGAAATATATCCCAATATTTTAAGAACTCTCAAAGATTTGAAGTATGACATTTGCAAAATGGAATGCTGGCTACTTAATCCCATTCACTGTGCTAACACCAAAATCTAGAAGCAAATGTAGGACATACACTCAAAATAAAATGATCAGTGCCAGAGCTTAAAATAAAATATGACTCTAATGTTTCTATGTAAAAATATTCCATCACCTCTCCTTCATGACCTAGAATTTCTGAGGTAAATAATTTACAATAATATAAGTGAGATATCACCAGGTGTGTGTGCATGCAAGATAAATTTAGGTTCAAAATGAGTGGTAAAACACATCAGGAACTGCAGAGGAGAAAGATTACTGTACTCAAAGAAAAGCACACTTGATTTCTGACTCCTTTCTTCAATTTTTCTCTTCCCAATTACTTTTAAATGAAAGTATTATTGAAATTTATACACAGGAAGCAAACCAGACATATTGGGAGATTTAGTTTTGTTTTTGCAGTTGTTGTAGTCACATATATAGATAAACAATATTTGCCCACGTGTTCATTGTTCTTTACTAAATTTTTATAAAAATTCACAGAATGAAAGTCCATCTCTAGTGGCATTCACCTTGTTTTCTGCACTGGCTCAAAAATAGAATTATAGATATTATTACTTATCCATTAATGTGCTTATGTATTTACCAACGACTTACTGAGCATTGATTATAGGAAACCAGGTAAGAGACAGAGTCATATGGTTCTTATCCCAAAAGAGACTGTTTAATGCATTCAGTTGTTTGTGTGCTTCGCATACTTTGCCCATAGAATTGCTCTAATCCTTGCAGCAACCAAAAGTGAGAAAGTCAGAAATAATAACCCTAATTGTGCAGGGATAGATGGTAACAAGTACATTTTACATCATGTTACTTTTTGTTTCCTTTCTATATACTGAAAACATGTTTTAATCTACTTACCCAGTAATAAGAATCTGCAACTAGACATAACAGGGACATGGTAGGGGCAGTGTAGATGGGTAAGAAAAGGAAAATAGCAGGAAAACTAATGATAGAGTTTTATTATTTTTAAAGGGTAACAAAATTATGTTCACTTATCCATCGAGAAGCTCTTCATGTACATTTGACCTGAAAATTGGGAGATATAAACAGAAAAGGATGACTGAGACAAACATAAAAACAAAGAAAAATATGAGAATAATTTTTCACTTTTTGCTTTAGAGATTCTGTCTCCTGAGTGAATGAGGAGACCATAAGGTCTCCTCCTTTGACTCTGTATTCTTTAAAATACAGAGTCAAAGAAGGGGCACACATTTGAATATCCACAGATTCATTTAATACAAAGAAGATTATTGATATTCATACCTGTATTATTCGTTATTCAACAAGTAGAAAGAACTTTGAGAACAATAGAATTAGTTCAAATTAAATTCGGTGTATGCATTTATATTCATATGTGTCTATCAATCCTCAAATTTTTAGCTGAAAGGAACATTAGCAATAATATGGTCTCTTTTTAAATGATTTGGCCATGTGGGAATGTACTAAGAGCTTATTCTAAAGAAATACTATATGAAACACAAATACAAACAGCAATAGTAAAATTGCTCTGAGAATTGTGTTCCACTGCTCTGTATTAATCTGCTATTCCTCACCCGTCTACAATAAGGGCCTGCAGAATATCTAGTCTTCAACAGGGCACTCTCCAATGGTCACTAATTTTTTAGTGATCCTTTACTTTATAAGGGAATATAATGATGCTCAGAAGAGTAGCAGGACTTGCCCAGCATATTTCACTAGCCATATATAAATTGGGATTTAAAAATGCTTTCAGGTTCGTACTACTAATAATAGCATTGATTTTATTTACGCTGTTACAAATCTGCTGTGAGGGACTACATGCTTACCAAATGACCCACTAATGATGATTCTTGTCACCTCAGAGAACATGTAAGAATGGTCAGTCAAGAAAGTTTCCCACTTTCCTTACAACTCATTTACAGGTGTGTCCCAGGCCCAGGACTGACCTAAAGGTTATTGATCAAAGTATAAGTTCTTAATACGTGAACTAGAAATAGAACTAAGAACAGAAAGATTTCAGAATACGATTTTTCTCTCTTACTCTATGTTATTTGAGTGGTTTATTATTTGCCTTATTATTTTAGAACTGCTTAATTCAACTGGCATAAATACTAAGGTTACTGGCAGCAGTGACCATAAACCAATGGAGAGAAATATATATCTATATGGCAAAGAAGGTGCACACACACCCACACACAGCTGGCGGGTCTAGACACAATCTCCATGCCTTTAATATGTAATTTCATAGAATTTAAATGGCTTTTGGTTTGTTTGTTGATTGATAGGTGACTCTCTGATAGGTGATAGGTGACTCTCTGATAGGTGACTTTGTTGATAGATTACTCTCTTTAGTAAGTAGTTTTAATTTCATATTCAATTGCTGCAAGATGTGCAGCAACTGAATATGAAATTAAAACTACTTACTAAAGCATTTACTTAGAGAAAGAAAATTGCTAGGCGGTTACATTCTGATGCACAACCCAACTTTTCCTTAACAAATTGTTAATCATAGCAAAGTATTATATCCATCTTCGGCGGGGACAATCATTTTCCTCCTGCAGGATATTGTGTGATTTTACAATTGTACAAAAACAGAGCAGCCCTGTGCATGTATGTATCTATATCTACATTTATGAATGTGTGTGTTTGTCCATTTGAGGCTTACATGTTTTCCTATTTTTAATGAGAATACTCTGCTACTGGTTTATTAAAGTGTATCATCAGCTATATATATGCTTTATTTTCCAATATGAATATTAAGGAAAATGTTTTTAAGCCATTTAAAAGAATAATTTCCTGTTAAAGCCAACAGATCAAACTCTGACCAAATTTTACACAATCTAGAAAATACAGCTGTTTAGGCACAGCACTAAAATGTGTAGAAAAACAAGAACCCTATTTTTCTCTTAAAACCCTAAGAAAGAGGAGGAGAGGAGGGGAGAGAGAGAGAGAGAGAGAGAGAGAGAGAGAGAGAGAGAGAGAGAGAGGGAGGGAGGGAGAGGGAGAGAAAGGCAGAGAAGGGAAATGGAAAAAAAGGCAATTAAGCTAATGCAAGTTGGGTGTCAGAAGGTTATAGATATTTCAAGAGCTGAGCAATTTACCGTCTGGAAAAGGAGAAGAGCTCTTGCATAAAATGTCCCCCAGTTCAGATTTATTATGCTTTTAGTTGTGTTATATGTGATACAATTAGCAGGAGGTGCCAATAAGGCGTTCTCTCAAGGACGTGGTCATCCTGTGCCATCTGTTATTAATTGCATTGTCCTTTCCACAGCCAGCTAGAGGGGAGAAAGTTCTCTGAGAAACACCTGCAAATTCTCCCCACACAAATGACCGGAATTTAAAAATACTTAAACAAAAGGAAGAAGGATAGATCGGGTCTCAAAACTGCCCACGAGGAGCTGAAAAAGAAAGAAAAATATATAATCAGTTCTGATGTGATAGATTTCCATTACTGGGATTGTTTTTCCTATCATTATATTTTGCTACATTCGTAGTTTTGCAAGCTGCAAAATGTATTAAAATGACAAATGAATAATGAAAACATGCTCCTACAAATACAGTCAGTCTATATAGCACTTAGTAAAGAATCAAATATTTAAATACATTTTTATACAAATCAAGAAAATGCTAAAAATTGACTGGATTATGGTTCTATTAAATTCAGTCTTAAAACAGTGCATAAAATTAATATTCCTACAAATATGCAAATGCTTTCTCAGATTGACACCTATTTTCATACATATCATCTCAAAATATAAATCATTAAAGAATGCTGTTAAAAATCAAACAGCTATTCAAACAATTTAATTTCAGAAGCACTAAATTACTTTTAACCATTTGTGCTGCCTGTTCTTTTTGATGATTCCTAATAGACTTGAATCTTTGAAGCAAGCAACTGCTACAGTTGGCTGTGTTTTCTGTTCTCTTGGTTGAATAAAAATGAATACTCCCCATGCTAGTGGGCTGAAACTTGGAAGAACTGTATGGGAGTATTGTAAAATTCCTTTTTGACTAGTAATTCAAAATATTTTCAAAAGTGGCACTAAAATTCCATTGAAGGGCCAAAGTGAGGAAGTATTTTGAAGACAATGGATGCAATTTTACTGCTAATTTCCTGGAAGAAGAGGGCTATGTACCTCAACTACCTACAGTTTGCTTGACAGTTAAATCACGTATCTATGCTGTGCATCTATTTTCATGAAATTCAACTAAAGTTTGTTTATTGAGACTAGGCAAGGGAAAATAAAATGTTCCTACAAGAGCATTCTTATAAGTTACCGTAAGAATAAAAACAGGAAAACATTTTCTTTACACAAGCTTTGAAATACTAAATTAGGAAAGTGCTCTAAGCCTGTTACATATTCTTATATTAGAAATCTACAGTGAAGTTAATATTATGTATCAAAAATCAAACCCTAAAAGATTGTTTTGAAATAGGGATACAATTGATTCATTTTACTGAAAGAGCCAATTGCCCTACACTAGCATGCTCAAAAACTGCTCACTTTTGCGTCCTAAGCATACTTTTCTGACTGTGTTATCTTTTTCTTATTTGTGGGTTCTTTTGAGATATGTTTCATTTTGAAAACAGTTTAGAAGGCCCATTTATTGCCATAATGCCAATTATTTCATTATTTTGAAAACTTAGGAGGTAATTTGATAGTTATTTTATTAGAGTAAATAAGAGATCAAGAGTACCATATCACAATGAATATAACAGACATGAAAGGTTTCATCTTATGACTAATATTTTAGGTATATATTAGAAATGCAGTAATATTATTCCAGGATTATCCAAATTTATCAATTTGGATGCTAAAACTGTGTTATGTTATTATGTTTTTCTTTCAGAGAAAGACTACATTGATTGCTTACTATTATTACAAAATGATAAAGAGTATTACAATACAATGTTGTATGCATGAGCACATTCCTTGAGTCAGTAACAACATTAATGTCACCTGAATGACAGTTTTTATGGTCATGGACATTGCAACTATGAATCAAAGTATCAATCTGCTGAATTCCCTTAATTTTATTTATTTTGCTTTCCTGTATCATGTTGTTATTTGGTTCTACTTTTAGTTGGCAGCAGAGACAACCAATAACTTTAGTGTCACAAAAGTGAATTAGTATAGACCAAGTATGAATCTCTCCTAGGGGAAGATTCACATTAGAGCAATGATCTGATAAATTATTCTCTTAAGAACGTAACCTTTAGGTCCTTAGTCACAGAGGTACCAGATCTTCGAATGTCTGCTGAATCATGCACCTGGAAAAGATGGGCATTTTAGCTAACAGTAGCTTCATTAGAAATACAGTAATATTATTCCAGGATTATCACAAATGTTAAAACAACCTTAAGTAGCATTCCCAAGCTAATTTTGGTATATGCTAGTTCAATTTCTATGCACTAGTAACCTATGTGTATCAAAAAATACACATGTATGTATTTAAATAGTAATAATAATATCTGCCTTCTAATTTAGAATTTAATGAAATAATATTTTAAAGCCCATCTTGGATTATACAAGAGCCTCATTTACCATCCTAATTCCACCTTTTAGAATGTTTTTAAATTTTGGTTAAACTTTGAACCTTCAAACACATCTTTCAAAAATAGTAGAGTTTACATTATAGCATTTTCAAAATGAAAGAAATGTAACAATAAAATGGAGAGACAAAAGTTCAACATTTTCTACTAGAAAAAAAAATTTAAAATCTGACTCTCTTGGACTAGGTGCAAGCCCTTAGTCTAGTGATATAACCTAGGTTACTCCCAGTCTCTAATGAAATAAGATTTATGAAATGTGTCTTATGAGGGTTTTGAAGAAAAAGAGGACCAAATCAACCACCGCCTTTTGGCTGTGCCTGGCATATAGGTAAATATAAATTCTTGTCAGCTGACGTGATGGTGATAGAAGAGGAGTTAGTAACAATTCCTTTGAACAGAGGAATCTCTTATGTACTGGTCATGGTATATTCAAATAAAAATTTTCAAGTCAGATAGTAGTCTATGTAACAAGGGGATCATTCCTGCAATGTAATTTTTAGCATGATTACAAAAGGGAAAATGTTGACTCTTGAACTCTATGAGGTTCCAGAATTTAAAGCTAGGATCGTGAGTAAAAGCTAAATACTTAATTTAAGTTATTAATAAATATTTTAACTTTAGAAAATATTTTTCAAGACATTATCCATTGTCATAATCTAAAGAACTATTCTACTGGACAAAACAGTATCTTCCAACTTTCCATTATTTCCTTCAATCTTAAAAGTTCTTATAAAGACAGTGTGCTCTCTTTATTTGTTCATTAGCTTCCCGAGCACAAGAAAAGACCCAGTGCTAACAGGGGATCATGTTAGGATTCCTACTTTTACTAATATAAATATCTATTGTGAATTTACTATGATCCCTGTATGATTAAATGTGTTACACATAACACTTCACTGATTATCATGGACTCCGCATTATTCAACTCATCTTAATGATGTGGAATCTTAGATACATAAAGTTTAGAAGCACTTGCTCACGGTAAAATTTTGCCAACTTGGGTCTCATACTACTGAAATTAAATGCCAAAATCCTGTCTAAAAGGTAGTGTAATCTCCACTGTACCATTTTTCTTTCCACCAGTTTGTACTTAAATATGAAATACTCGTAACTAATTTCATGTCTCTCTTGATTTTGTTTTACTTTCTCCCATAATAGGAGATATGTACTGAAGCAAAATTTTTGAGTGTTATCTGAAATATTTACATTTTAAAAAGACTGTATTGCTTTTCTAAAAGCAGTTTCTGAGAAAAATAAAATTGTCCACGAATTGTGACATTCTGTTTTCTACTTACTGCAGGCAGTGCTTTGATCACACTAATACGATGACTTCAGAATCTTCATTAAAAACATTAGTTAAGTAGTTCATATTAATGTAGTTTGACCTGTAAATGTCTTTGAGAAATTTCCTGAATTTTCAAGACTTTGGTAGTTTTATACTTGATTTGTATTTGATGTAAATGGGAAATACAATGGAAATGGATTTTAATTACACATTCATTCAAAGGTATTTTTTCCTTTTCTAGGTGATCCGCTTTCTGAATCTTTGGCTGCTTTGTGGTTGTCTCCTATGTTCTAATCAGTAGGATGCAAAGCATTCATTCATATAAGTTGCATGGAAGCTCTGCTTTTTTGTTCTCCTTATATAAGGGCTGGAAATTGAAACCAAACTGAAATCCCAGAGACAAAATTAAAAGAAATTAGATATGTGCCTGAAAATTTAAACTTTATGACTTTTGGTGGTTGTTGCTACTGTTTATATTTTTGACGTACTAACATTTCAGACAAACTTGGGACAAATCAATGTTTCTCTGTCTCCAAACTAAAATACAATATCCTCTTTGATGTCATATTAACATCAAGATTAAAGCATCTGGGAAAGGATGATGTCAAAGTTAACTCTCCACTTTAAATCTCTGCAAGAATCTGACTGTAACTCAGACAAACGATTGGAGAAAATAAGAACGCCTCTGTCTCAATTGAAAAGATTAAGGGCAAGGTAAGGAATAACACAGAGAAGAAAAAGAGATCAATCAGTCCATTAACATAGAAGACAGCAAGTGAAATAACGTGCCTCAGTGAATGTGCCACAAGGGAACAAAGGCGAAGAGTTAACGCAGAATGGAGCAAGCAACTTGACAACAGAAATACACCAAGATAAACAGAAACAAAATAGATCCTACCCTATTCCTAACCTAACCACGCAATTCCTTAACCATAGTTCTTTACACACTAACCCTGCTTCCTAACCTCAACAGAAATGCCAACCTCCTAAACTGGAACACTGACTTTCCCAGCAGATGTCAGACATTAACCACTGGCCTCAACTGACATCAATATTAATCAGCTAATTTTAACATTAGCAAAATATATGCATATTAAGAATAAACTTGTGCTACTATTACATAGAAGACAATTATTAGCAAGTTCAAATAATTAAGATGATTATCTATTTTCAACTGCAAACCTTTTTATAAAAACATGTCTTCCCTTGGCTTAATAAGGTCATAATTGTCATTTAAGTTTATATTTTTCAATTTCCTAAACACATGAAAAAGATGTGTGAAGTATTTCTACCTTCAACTGCCAAGAATAAAGATTTCATAAGTTATTAGTAACATTATATTGTCAAAAGAATTTCAATTCTTACATTGACTAATGGTTATTATTTATGCATAGCCATTTCTGAAAACTGCCCCAGAGACTATGCATGTGAAATTTGCAGACTATTAGTTGGGTTTTCCTATATATTTTGTTAATTGTTGGACAACCAATCCCACATAAAAACTTCTGAGTATGATTTGCTTTGGCAGTGCTTGACATTGAACCCCAGGTTGTGCTGGCAATAGTGATGGGCATGTTACACTTATTGATTTGCATATGTTGAACCACCCCTGCATCCCTGCAATGAATTCTATTTGGTCGTAGCGGGTATTCTTTTTGATGATTTGCTGCATTCCGTTTGCCAGCATCTCATTGAGGATTTTTGCACCTACGTTCACTGAGGAGATTGGCCTGTAGTTTACTTTTTTGGATGGGTCCTTCTCTAATTTTGACATCAGGGTAATTTAGCCAGACATCCTTCAGACCAAGGATTACTATCTAGACTATGTAAGGAATTTAAAAACAAACAACACCCTAAATTAAAACACCCAATCCAAAAATGGGCATCTGAGATAAATACACACTTCTCAGATGAAGGATAAATGGAAAATAAATACATGAAAAATATTCAACATCACTTGTCATTCAAGAGATGAAAATTACAGCAAGACTGAGATTTCATCTCAGCTCAGAAACAATGGCTATCAATAAGAAATCAACCCATAACAAGTGCTGGCGAGGCTGTGAGGTAAAAGGAACACTTACCCAGTTGGTGAGAGTGAATCACTGTAGAAATCAGTGCGGACATTCCCAACAAAACCATAATTAGCAGTCCCACTTACCCAGGTATTCCTCTTCTGGGTATCTTCCCATAAGAATTAAAAACATAATACCACAGCAAAGCATGTGTCCCTGTGTTTACAGCAGCACAATTTGTGATAGCCAAGTCTTGGAAACAACCCAAATGCCCACCAACTAAGGAATGGATAAAAAACATATAATTTCTTTGTATGATGGAATACTACTTAGCCATAAAGATGGATAAACTTGAGACTTTTATAGGTAAATGGATGCACCTTGAAATCGTATATTTAAAGTGAAATAAACCAGACAATATGCAAATATTACATTGTTTCTCTGGTGTGAGAAACTGAAAGAGTAAATAAGGACCAAAATGTACAATAGATATTGTGAAATAGGATGAAATGGTTTAAAAGAAAGGGGAAATAGAGAAGCGAGAGGCATAAAAGGAAGGAAGGGGAAAAGAACACAAGAAGGATAAAATGGAAAGAAAGCTTTGCAAATAAGGAGGGTAAGAGGGGTTGAAGGGAGGGGAGGTGGTGGGAAAACAAAGAGGAATCAAAATACATACAGGTACAAGTTCCACATGATGAGTATGGTCATTCTGTGTATATAAACTGTACCAAGACACTTCATTTAAAAGCGTTTAATTCATAGTAAGTCAAATAAGCACAATGAAATAATTCATTGAAATAAAAATGAAATGCTTTATTTTTCTGTATTTTGGCATCGAAATAACCTGGAATCTGCTTTTCTCTGGTCTAATATCTCTAAATCCAAATCATATACTCCTGTCAAACCCTCTAGAGTTCTGTGCCTTTTCTTTCCTTCTTATATTTGCACATATATTCCAAGGACAATTGAACATTTATAAGCACTTCTGTGGTTGGAGATGCAATGTGAGTTAGATCACAAAGGGTTTCTCAGACGCATGTTTTAGGAGCTGGGCTAAAGAAGTGTCCTCCGCTATTTAGAAGTTCACAGTATAATGGAAGCATAATTACATTAACTTACACAACAAATATAAAATGAATGCATACTATGTTCTATATACTGCATTAGGTTCTGGGAATAGAATATTTATCAGTCTAAACATAGCTTCTGCCTTTACAAAATTTAGAATTTATGAACAGAACACTGCACATAAATACAGTCCTGATATATACTGTACACAAAGTCAGTCCTATATCTCTGAGGGTCTTTGGGGGATAATGTAAGAAAAAAACAGCTGTAGAAGTATAGAAAAATAAGGTTGTGTCATGTAAAACAGCAGCAGCAAAAAGGTGAGGATAAGCAGCTGAGGATTGAAAATAATAGAGAAGAAGATAGTGACAATGAGTTATTCGAGGCACAGAAGTATTTGCTCCAAGCAGATCATGATTATGAAATAAAATGACGGTCAAATGATAGAGGGACAAAGTGTGGAGGACTTGGGGTTCTCCACCACCCTGAAGTTTTTGACCTCCCATGGTTTTCACTTATGCTACAAGTGCATCCCCAATTACCAGAATAGTAACGGTGAATTCATTTTATCCATCGGTGTTTCAAGGATCATGAAGAATGCCACAGTTACAGGACATTACCAGTGCTAAGTTTGGTTCTCTATACACAACAAAAATTCACAGGTTTTTAATTTGTGCATCTAAGTAATGCAGTTGTTAGATGTGAAACGTACATATCATGTCTTCAGATAAACTCTAAACTCCAATGCAAACACGATAGGAAAAGAGAACTTGAGGATTCCCAAGGCAATAAGAAAGCCCGAGTTTAATGTAATGCATTATATGTAATCCAAGAAATGTTATATTCCTGAGTTATTTTCATATATATATATCCATGTACCTAATTACCCCACAATTCTGAGGAAGGTGGTTGCATTCACTTTCATGCAGGGAAGATGGCTGTGGTCACATTTGTCATCCATTGCAGAGTTGGAGACCAGAAGCGAAGCAGCCATGAACCGAGGTATTACTATGTGTGTTTGTAACTTTCATCGCACACTAGCATCCTCTCTGGAAAGAAATGAAACCTTAAGAAATTTTCACTGAAGAATGCTTGCCTGCGCATATAAATGTTCTGATGTATCAAACATACACAAAACCAGATATTTGTAATAGAATATTTTTTAAGTCATACTGAATTATGGAGACATTAATCAAAAGGCCTGAATCAAATTAGGACTCAAAAGTTTTTTAAAAACAAAACAAGGTAAAGTAACCCAACTTACCTTTTCTGATAGGTGCACATTCATCATGCCAACGCTGTTATAAAAGTGCCATATTAAAGATGCTGAGAAATTTTAAACTTGCAGAGAAGAACATTCTTATCTATGTTTACTTTCTGCACTCTTTACCAAAGCATTTTACCTCACATGTGAATGTTGCCCTACAATATGTGTTTATACAGCTACCTAACAGAAGATTGGTTCAAATAGAAGCATATGAGATTTTACGGTAAGCAGACAAAAGGAGTGGTCTTCACCAAGACATACTTAAGAACCACAAACGAAAAACAAAGCATTTAACTTCCTGTCATCTCACGATAAAAGGAAGAATCATTTTATAATAGTTAGCAGTCCCGATATAATTCCACAAATGTGACTTGAAGTAGATAAGTAAGTTTCACCTGGAAAGACTTTAGTATAGATAGTCTGCCAAATCTATTATGTTAATTTACAGTAAGGAAACAGAATCAAATTTCTAAATAATACTTGTCTGTCTGTCCAAATCATGCAGTCACATTACTAGAATTGTAGTGCTTACTTTAATTCCCATCCCTGCATTTTTAATATTTTGTGTTTAAAAATTTATAAACTGTGTTAAATGGGCATCTAAATATTGCGTGAATATTTCTTCTTGAAGCATTCATTCAAATGTTAACTTATTCAGCATGTGTTTAATGAGTGCTAATATGCACCTAGCACTGAGCTAATCTGAGTATGGATTTTGAATATGGTAGCTGCTCACCCTGTCCTCAAGGAGGTTATAGTCTTATTGATACAGTCAAAATTATTCTCATAGCTAAACATACATGCTTGCTTGTGCATACTCATCTTCCTTCCCAGGCTCTGCCAAAGTTATGGTAAATTATTATGAACTCTGGGATAGAAAAAAAGAGAATAGAAAAAACAGACAAGTTATTTGCATTTGTTGGAAGGTAGAGAGCACACAAAGAAGTGATAACAAGCTTAATAGAATATAGGAAATAAGAACTTTACTGTTAATGGGGCTAGGGACGCCTCCTTCTCCTTTTAAACTCAGGAGTTTCCACGCTCATGGCCACTGAGCCAGTTGAGGGCAGAATTGAGGAGCAGGGCTGAAAATAGAGAAACTAAATGACTCCACGATGAGTTGCTGAGCAACAGCCATTCTTTGATCTGCTCCTGAGTTCCGGCAGCCAAGCATAATTTCCCCTCCGAAGCCACTCAGACCCCCTCACCATACAAACAACACGTACCACACGCTGATGTGAGGTCGGCTGGAAGGTTCCCTAAGAAGAGCCTCAACGATGCTTGGGAAGGAAACAAAAAAGAGACTCATGCTAAAATTTGTGTGATGCAATAGAAAAGTTGATTCAATATCTGTCATACTGAAAAGAGATTTGTGCCATTAAAAAGTTCCATCTACCCAAGGGAAACACTCTGGTCAGGAAAATACCTGACAGGCAAGAGGAAACCCCACACTAGACAAAGCAGTGAACAAACTGAATAGAGAAACTCTCAGCACAGAGTACAAAATCGATAAATAAATCTTCACTATCCTCAGAAATAAGAGATGACTCCTACAATGAAAATATGGTTCTTTATAAGAAACATTCAAAGGAGTTGTGAGAGCTTAAAGAAAGAAACCTATGTTTAAAAAATCACTGATTAATTTAGAAGATAAAAGAATATTCCAGAAGGAAATATAAAATATGAAAGGTAAGTCGCTTGAGGTTTAAAATGTAAATTGTAAGAGTTCTAGAAACAGCAAAAAAAAAAAACCCAAAAGACAAAAAAAACAAATATATATTATAAAAGAAAGAAATGACAATAACAAAATTTCTGGATTCACAAATTTTTGCCTGTTTAATAAAAAGGGCCTATCATGAAGTCAGGGCAAAGCTGGAGAAAAAACCTCCAATGTTCATCATTCTGAGATTTCAAAACCTCAGGTTTAAACAGAATTCCTCAGATTGTTCTTAAAGGGAAAAAATATAAACTCTTAAACAAATGAACAATCTGAGAGAAAATAATTGAAACTAGGTTCTTTATGTTATTTAGCTACTTTCCTAATCTTGCACTGTTTCACAGTACGCTGCAACTCTGAGGTATATGTAAGGATGAATCATGATACGTCAACTTGACTGGATTCACAAATGTCTGGCCGCTGGGCATGATGGTGCCCTTCTGTAATCCCAGCACTTTGGTAAGCTGGGACCGTAGGAGCACAAGTTCCAGCTCAGCCTGGGCGACTTTGCAATTTGGCAAGACTCTGTCAAAAATATATGAAAAGGATTAGGGATGCAGCGCTGTCTGAGGCAGATGCCATATCCTTGTTCAGTCTTCTTGCACAGCTTCTGGACTGAGCAGCTACTGGATCCTCTGATTCTCTAGGGTGTGAGGTGGACCACTGTGGACTGCTCTGCTGCTGATCCTACAAGTCTATCTAATAATTCATTATATATATATATTCATATATGTTCTTATACATATTCCTATAATATATATAATTATACTCTGGCAAATATATATATATATACGTATATATATGGTAGCTTACAAAATCAAACTTTCAGTTTTTGCTCATAATTTTGCAGATTATCTTTGATTAAGCTTTTATAAACTAAGTTCACCTGCTTTGTCTTCCATGTCTCTCTTTTTGGGATGAGAATGCTAATTAGGCATTCAACCTCAAATCAAGTGAAGAAACACATGAAAAGTTTATCCTGTAGGCAAGGTTAAATTCTATTTTTTTTTCTTGAGTCATATCCATTAAAGCTCAGCCCGTCACCATCCCTAAACCCATAAGAGAGTGAAATAAATTCCACCTGTAAAAGGAGGGACCGTAAAAGTACACAAAAGCATGAAAAACTGCAGACAATAATGTAAAATTTTACACTACTTGAAGTATAAAAACATGAAAGTGCTGAAAAATTTACCTCCTTGGTGTCCTAAAGAATGGTTTTCAAAGTGTATTTCCCAAGTCAGCAGCATCACCTGAGAATTTGGTTTTAAAACTGAGCACACTGTCCCCGCGCAACACATGCTGAATAGTAACACTGATGGTAGAAGGTAAGTCTCTGCTTTAGCAAAGCTCTGACAATTCTAATGCACACTTAAGGTGCAGAAATGCTCTGCTAGCAAAGGCGACTCAGCAGACCTACAGAGGAAGGCATGGGATCCAGAACGGAAGAGAAAATAACACATGAATTGAACAGATAGCATATTTCTGTGAAGGTTAGGCTTTAATGACATCTAAATGGGAAAATCTTGACATGACATTTTGAAGAGGATAAAATTAGGTATTTGTTAGATTGAGGCACTTGGAGAAAAAATTCATATATGTGTGGAAAACTAATGTAAGTTAAGCAATCATTAACTCCAGTAAACAATGGGAAAAGAAAAGTCATGGAACAGCACATCATAGGAAATGAACTGTATTGACACAGTTATCACAAAGAAAATACATTGTACTAATGTACTCATAAGGGGCTAGGGATTTAGCTCAGCGGCACAGCGCCTGCCTGGCAAGTGCAAAGTTGTGAGTTCGATTCCCGGTACCAGAAAAAAACACAAAAAAACAAAACAAAACAAAATACTATAATGTACTCATAAATTTAAAGCTATCTTTTTTAAAAAATAAAATGAGAAGTATATGAAGTAGAAGATAAATCTCTACCATAATAATAAATTGTTACTAAAATCCATAAATATATAACTGAAATATATCCTATTATTTTAAAAATATGTAACTTTTAAAAATGTTAGAATAAAATACCCGAATCATTTATTTTAAAGAGTTAGAACTAATTAATCACATTGTGACATTTGCAAAGAAGTAAAGGTAAGCATCCCATAACAACAAAGAAAATTTCAATGAAGTATAGTCTCAAAGCCATACAAGCATCCAGGACTGTATTATTTTATACTGAATCCATCAATAATTCCTACTGATTTAAAGTTCAAAATGCAGCACGAACCTGACCAATTCTTAATAACTGAATTGCAACCTCTAATCAATTCTTCTCTGGATTTTTTCAGCATCTTCAGAACTAATAACCTTAATTTTCTAACTCTGCTTTGAGGATTCTCTGTGCAGACTCCTTTCTCTCATGTGATTTTACTTGTTCCCTATAGGGTTTACTTTTCAGGTAGCTCTACTTGTAATTATACATTCCCTTCCTAATTCTTCTTTTCCTGAGCAGCAAGACATGTATGCCAGTTTCCTATCTACAGTATTTTTTATGACACTGCTCTTTACTAAAAATATGGGTTTTCAATCTGGCTTGTATTTAGGTAAATATTTTGAATAAAAGTCCTCTAGTATTTCTTAATTTATTTATTCCACAGTATAAACTCAATTTTCAGTGGTATTGCTCAGGAAAATTCAACTAGCTACAGGGCATGCGGATTTAGAGTGTGAATACCAACATCAATTCACCTGTTCTAAATATATGTGATTAACTATAACTTTTAAAACCCAATAGATATTAATTGTAATGCTTTCTTGTTATATTTATAATATTCCAAGAAAAGAAGAGGAAGCAGAGTTGACAAAGACAATATTCAAAGATCTGATAAAGGTATAATTTTATGCAACAGTTTATATGGAAAATTTCTTCTATTTAATATCCATATTTTAGATATGATTTAGATTATACCTTTTATGCTTTGCCAAGTAATGAGGTAAAAGCCTTTAAATATAAAAGCAGTTATTATATAAGTAAATATATAAGTAATCAGTAATGTTCTTAAAGAATAATAGAAGAAAGTGTAATATAAGATATTTATTCTTTCCCTGAGCTTTACATTTACTGATGAAAATAATAATAATTTATTAAATTGCAACCATATGTCAGACAATGTTATCACTAAACTCTCAGAGTCCAATGAAGGATATATATTATTATATTTATTTGATGAAAAACCTAGGTTCTTAGAGAGTTTGAAGTCCTAAATTAGCTAATAATAAATCTTAGCCCCTGCAATATTCAGGAAAGAGTAAGAGAAAACTTAGGATATTGGGCCAAAAATTGGTAAGAACATTCGAAAAGACCTGGTGCAGAGAAACTTTCCAGAAAAGAGAAACAGAATCCAGAGAAAGATTGTGTCCTCACACCCTTGTTTTACTTGGTCAGATCTAGTTATTATGTGTCATATAAAAATTATTGGGGGAAATCAAAGAGGAGAAGGAAAAAAAGTTTTTGTTTACAGACGTTTTCCATACAACTAATGTACAATAAAAGTAAAAATTTAATATCACCACTTTGCAGCTACTAGTGTAATAATAATCACTTAAATACATAAACAGCAAAGTCTCCGAAATCACCTTATGGAGTATCATGAAGTGGGGGTGTCCTGTACTCACAAGTCATAGAGATATTCATAACTGTCAAACAAAGTGCTGCAACTGAAAAGAATTGGCAGTTATTACCCTAACTAGGAAACCTAATTCTTCATCTCTAACAAAACAGTCTAATATTATAAACAACTGACAAGAAGCAATCAGAACTATATAGCGGGACTCGTAGTATTCTTAAAGAAAAAAATCTAATAAAAAGGACAAAAACATAATGTCAAAATTATACTACTCAACTAATTCAGATTCTTCCAAAAATACATACTATGAAAAACCAATACAATAAAAGGAAAGAGGAACCTCTTTGGTTAAAAGGGACTAAGATAAAACAATCTGAAACAATACATGGACCTCGGTAGAACCCTGCATTTCTCAATAAAAGTTGTTAAGAACATATGCATGAAAAAGTATTAAGGTATTCTGTGACATCAGCAATTTATAGATACTTCAAAATATGCAATGATATTGAAAAGTCAAAAGACACAAAAATGTTAACAACTGGTGATTCTAGGTACTAAATATTCAGTTTTGTGAACCATTTTTTTTACAGATTCGAAAGTTGTTTTAATAAAAAATGGCTGGAGAAATGATTAATTGGAAGTTGCTTAAATAATCAACATAAATTTATGATTACTAACACAAGTTTATTGATAACCTATTAGAAATCACCACTCTAAAAACATAAAGTTGAAAACATTTTGTGAAAATATAATCAGTGCTCTACTGAGCACTTGAGCCAGCTTCTCATGTCAACTTGGAATTGTTGTCAGCAAGAATTAGAAGAAAAGGAGAATTGTAACCTGTCCTTAGGGACTGTTTTATTGACTTTGAAATTCACAACATTACAAAGAAATACTTACTGTCTCATGCAGTCCAAACTCAGGAGTTCTGGGTGCACGGGTTACTTTTTAACCTCCCAAATCCTCAGTCTAAGGAAGCCCATCTTCCAGATTTCAAACTTCTCATCTCCGACCCCACCTAGCAGTAACGAGGTAACTCTGGTTTTGGTTTAAAAGTCAATTCCTGGAGCAAAAGATTTTCTGTGAGTTCTGTTTTGGATTACGTTTAAGAGATTTTCCTAATGATTTGAATTCAAATACAAGATGAATCATTTATTTAAATATTGAATATAGAGTATTCTAAAACAAGTACAAAGAATTTACAAGCATAAACATAAGTTGTAGTTTTAGGATTATAATTGTCCCCTAATTCTAACAATCTTGCTCTTTTCAATATTGCCATCAGCTGGACCCCACTAACAGTTTTGTTTCTGATGATATTTTTGACCACTTCAGTCTATGGTCCGAAAAGGACCCATGCTGATTCCCTTGACAGTTACCCTGTCTCCCTGTTCTGGCTCTGCCTGGATCTCTGCACCACTAACTTTACTGCAATGTGCCTTTTACTATCTGAATTTTTAAAATTGTTTGCTACAAGTTAAAAATGAGTCCTACAAATTTCCAAATCTATTGGGCATTTTTAATTCTTACCTTACTGCATGTCTCAAAATGCCTAGCTCACTCTGATCACATTCTTCTTATGTAGACTACATATCTATTCCTTTAACACATTCTTCTGTTTCTGATGAAAACAAGTTCAAAGCTATGCCCCTATTGGATGGCGACACAGAGACAGTTAAAAGACCCAATTTACAGGCTAAATATAATCTTACAGAAAATGGTACACAAAGTAAGAATCTGTTTTTATTTTTCTCTTACTACTATATTTTATAATCACATACCATAGTTGTATTAATAAGTAGTCAATACCATTGCATTAGGAGCGTGTGTGTACTTCTGTGTGTGCCAGATCATGGAAGAATTAGATGTATTCACTGCCCAAAACCAAATTTTATCAAATACGAAAGAAACCTCACAAATAAATAAAAACTTGGGGTGCTTCATTGTTGAAAATATCAATTTAAGACTGTAGAGAAGGCTGTAATTTTAGCTGTCATGGTGGTGTATGCCTGTAATTCCAGGACTTGGGAGGCTGAGGCAGGAGGATTGCTGCAAATTTGAGGCCAGCTTGGGCTACAAAGGGAGTTCAAGGCCAGTCTGCACCGCACAGGGAGACCCTGCCTCAAAAAAAGGAAACACTTAAAAGACTATAGTTTTATTTTATAGTTTTATTTCCATCACCTAATACATAGTTTACAAAACAAAGCCACATATTTTCTCCTTATTTACAGTTACATAAGGAGACACTAAGTAAAATGATTAAGGAATTAACAAACTATGATTTACAGATGGAAACTATTTAAATAAAAAACATAGTAACTACATTTGGCCATATGTACAGTATTACATATAAATTTATAAAGTTATATAATATACATATATAGATGCTTAGATATATGTGTAAGTGGATGATAAGTAAATTTCATGATATATTACAAACCACTGCATCAAACTATAAGGTAGAGATATTTGCCTGACCAAAGTTAATATCCCTAACTAAAAGTAACTCAGTAGAAATTAACTTTTTATTATTCAGTTGGAAAGAAAACCTCCACTAAAATGATGTATATTTTCTTGACTAGAATTATTATTCTTGTTAATGAGCAGTGTGCTATGAAAATGAGGATTTAATATGTAACCAATTAGTAAAAAAATTAAGTCAATTACCAAACACAATTTTCCATGTTAAACATTAATTAAATTCTGAAGTATTTTTAATAAATTTAATATAGAAAAAGTGAATTAAAAGTAAAGGGCAATTTAAACTATTAATCAAAAGTGTTTGTTATTATATAGAGATTTATTTTATCTAAAAGTGCTATGCATGGTAAATATTTCTTGTATTAAGGATTAATTTAATATTTGAGTCCATCATATTTTGTTCAGCAAAAAATAGATGCTTTTAAATTAACATTTATGACACATGACTAACTTCTACATGGAGAAGTATAATATAAAGAGTACACAAGGAACATGAATGTGCATAAACATTAAAAAAATTTACTCAAATTAATGAAAAATTAGGTAAATAGCTAATATCAAGGTAAGCACAAAGATTACATTTTGAGAATATTACATATGAATGTAGTCACTAATATACATGTGTATAATAGGAATACACAGAAAACATCCTTTCTTTGTACTCAGGAATTAGCCTATGAAAAATATCCACAACCATGATCTCAGTCAATGACTCTCAATTCTGCACATTAAAAACAATTGGATTTTCAAACATCAAGGTGTTCACTCTGCAATGTCTGCTCTAACTGACCTCCAGGAGAGCTTGTGATTCAGTAATACTTAGAAGCCTCAGTTTACATTTTCTAATTCAGAGGATAATGATTATTATTGATTCATTGTGAATCAGTTGCTCACCTCTAGTCCAATGAGCTGGATCTAGGGCCAAGCACTAGTGCTCTGGCCCATCACAGTGACAGGGTAGAACGGGTAAGGTAGACACAGGATTCTGGCTACACTACTTACATTGCAGTTATTTGTGTGGGAGAAAGGTAAACCTATGAAAGAAAACTTAAAAAGAATCTCAGAGATGATTGGAAATAATTTAAATAAACTAAAAGGACAAATCCGCTTCACCATTCCAGCTTTTAAAGTAACAGGGCAGGGGACCTCCAAGTAGCTCAGTGTTTCACATAGAAAACAGGGCTTGAGTGATTGCTAAGGTGATCTTCATCCTGAGAATCTCATTGATTCTAAGATTCCAGGGCAGAGAAAGATGAAAATATTGCTAAACTGGTGACTTTGATAAGAAAGAAACTGAAGTTCTGTGGTGTGAGAAAAAAAGTGCAAGAGAAAGTGACTACTCTTAATTTGATTTTCTATACAAAAAGCATGATGGCACTTGGGAAAGAGAAAGCATTATTATTATTATTATTATTTGTCTGTTCTTCCTGTACCAGGAATCAAACTCTCAACCTTGCACTTGCCAACCTTGCACTTGCCAACCTTGCACTTTGCCGCTGAGCTAAATCCCCAGCCCCTAAGCATTATTTTTTGAAGGAGAAGATTTTGTTTGAGGAACATACACATTTCCTTCTGTAGCCCCATGATCTAAATCTTCCAAGGCAACCTTAATGATTTATGTCTGTTGGTCAATTTTAATTTAATAGTCAACCACTGACTCTCAGCAGATTTGGACCACTTTAGAAATCAGTAACTTCTACTGGGAGATGAATGACAGTTATGTTTTCACTCTGAGACCAAATTAACATGGAAAAATAGCCTGTTTCAGTAAAATGGGAAAAATAATCTATCAAAACTGGGATTGATTTAATATACACTGTGAATGCTATTCCATATGTTCTCTAACATCCTAAAAAGCAGTGTTCAAATACCATGCAATACTCTCTTAATTAGAAGCTATAAGATCAGAAATTAATGGGGCTGGGGATTTAGCTCAGTGGCAAAGCGCCTGCCTGGCAAGCGCAAGGTCGTGAGTTCGGTTCCCGGTACCGGAGG